AAGTGGGAACAATCCAGATGTTGCTATTCATGAAGAGAACATAGGAGACCAGAATGCCCAGTCATTTAGGCTCCAGCTCATGAACTGTACCTCCTGTACCAACATCAGCTGTCAACACTTGAGGCCTAACTTTTGCATTTCAGCCAATTCTAACTTCAACTAATTTGGCTCCTGTCACTGAAGAGAAAAAGTCAATGGGAATACTCTGTGAAATCTGAGATTGATTCTCAGTGGATCTGTGTACAATCAGCTCTTGAGTATTCCAGCTAGCACCCTGGAATTCCAACCCTGGTTTAAAAAGCAAATTAACCCTGGATGATGAAGGAAACCACCCACAAAGACCCTGGATTGCCCCTGCCAGTCAGAGCAGACCATACCAAGCCTGATGGACCAGTAGTCTGACCTGACACAAGCCATTTTACTATGCTTTCCAAAAATCATGGTAGGCATGCCATGAACGGAGCCAGCTGGAGCCGGGGGTCAGACAAGATGGACCGGGTGGCCCCTTTTGACTTGATCCGTTTTCATGTTTCTAAGTTTCAGTGTTTCTATGCACTTCTTGAAAAGCTTATCAGGGTTTCCACAATGAAAAAATCAGCAATGGCATACAAGCTTCCTTTCAGTGGCATCTTGGCTGCAGCTGCCCTCTTTTCTTGTAATGGAGCTGGCATGGGGAGATCCAGGTTCAGTGGCTTGCTCAGCTGGCCACCCCTGGGTTGTTCATTATCCTTCACCTTTTCCCTACCTCCTACCTCCTTGAAGGAAAGGTGGAACATAAACACATCAATTAAAGTGTTTATGTTCAGGGGAGGGGTTACTTCCCTTGCATATAACAGCAATAATATGCATAATTAATTAATGATGCCCATTTCAGAGAAACAAAGTAGCTTCAGGGCTACCTCTGCAGTTCCTTCTCTGCCGACTTCCTCCCTTGCAAGGAAGGCAGCTGCCCCTTTTCCAAGAGGTAACTCACACAGCAGGGAGTTACCTGGGAGTAAGTCCCACTGTACTCAGTGGGACTTATATTTGAGTACAGTTTGAGTATGTTTAGGTCTATACTGTAGTGAGAGCCACTCAATTAAAGCAGTCTCTTGCCAAACACAGAGGCGAATGCCAGTCTCACAGTTCAGAAAGCTGCAGGATCATGGTTGTCCAAGCGGACCAGTGAGGACAGGACTGCACAGTTAGTCCGGAACTCTTTAGTTCGAAACTGCTCTTTAGCACTCCTGCTCAGATTCAGCCACTCCTCCACCACCCCACAGTTGCAGTTTTACAACTTACAAGATTGTTGTGAAGGTTACAAGGCAATAAATATTAAGTGCTTTGATTACTCTAAAGCATGACATAAATGCTCAGTGTTAGTAGCAGATTTAAAGACATAAATAATCTGTAATAATCCTACATAATCTGAGAAATAATAGCATTATAAAACACAAAACACTCACACAGGAGGAACCTTTGACTGGCCAGATATTTTTCCTCCTCCTCCAGGGAAAGTTATTTCTTGCCATGGGTTGTGGGGGGGGGGGGGGGACTCTTTGGCTCCATGCATGTTCTATGGAGGTCAGGGTCACTGGTGCACTTGAACCCTGAAAGCCAGTGCAATCAGTGGGTGCAGTCAATCCAAACACCTGGCCTCTGGCACAAGGGAGGGAAGAGAGGGGGTAAACATCCCCCACCACTTTAGCCAGAATCATACTGCGGGAGGTAGTGAGATCCACCTAAGTGTTCTGACTCTCTCTCTGGTCAGTTTAAGACTTGTGCCAATAACAAATCCAGGCATTCTGGCTCTCTCGGCATTGCAGGGGAGGGCAGAGAATCCAGAAAAAGCTTTGGCCAACACTGTGCCAGATAATCTAATTAAGGATTAATGAGCCTTTGAACTAAAGACAATTGGGGTGGGGGTTGCACTTGAATGCCACGCGCTGTGGCTGGGAGGATCCCATGCGGCTTTAGCCTCTGTGGCAGCGTGCAGCCGAGTCGGTGATTCTGTGGCAGGCAGTGGGCCATGCCTGCCAGCTCAGCAGCCAGCGTGCCAAGGAAACCACACAGCCTGGAGGCACAGAGGGGCTGACACATGGATGCAGACTTTGCGGGCATGTTTTGCTCCCATCCCTCCCTGCCCAAGCCTGCTGGACCTCTTCTTTCAGAGGTGGAAACAGCACTCTAGACTCCTGTTTTTGCCCCTTTGGACCCACTGGCTTCATTATTGCAATATGGTAAAACTCTGCCCATCTGTAAACTCTTCCCTGCCTTTATCTGTGACAGCCACCCCCACTCCCACAGCAATCATCTTAAAGCTGGATACTTCTTTTACAACCAACATTTTCGATAACTTGCCCTTTTCACTTTTGCATTTAGCATGATTTCTTCTGCATGGTCCTTTAAAAGGATTGGGGAGGCTTTGCTTAAACTGGCAGCCGTTGTGGTTTCCAATCCCCCTTGGGGCCTCCCCATATAATTGCTTCCAAGGGTGGGAATGGGATGCTCCTGGAACACATTGCTGGATTTGCCGTCCCCTTTTGCAAACATTTATGCTGGCTATGAATGAAGAACTCTTCCAGTCTGCTATGCTCGTGCTTCACGCTCACTCTAGACAAATGGAAGGCAGCAGAGTGCCACACTCCATCCATAACCAACAGCCACATTTGGATCAAAAAATGCAATGTTGGACGGGTAGACCACAGGCACAGATTTCTGTGCCCTAGAACTAATCCAACAAGGAACAGGCACATCTGCAGCGCTGAAGGAGGGAAAAATATATAGGACAGGGGGAGATGTCTCCAGATCTTATCTCTAACTATATGGGAACTTGTGAAATCCCACATTTAACAGAAGAAAATATTTTTCCTAAAATCTTGGAAGGATTTGGCATCTAGTGGCTCAGGATGGGAAAGAAGAGAAGTGGCACTGGGTGAAAGGACATTGCATCAGATAGACAGCTGGCTCAGAACAGATGAAACATCATAAAAACACTTCTTTTTTTCTCAGAACCCATGATTCACTTAAGGAACTTATTCCCACAAGATGTGGTGATGATTTGGATGGTTTCACAAGGGGAACGAGCTCATATGCAGAGCAGTGCAGTCTGTCCCAAGACTTTAGCTATCAGAGCTGTGGAACCTTCATGACTAGAGGCAATATACCTCTGAATCTGAGATGCAGCCTGGGGACAAATCTCAGGGGAGCAGCTGATTTCCTGCTCAAGCTGTGGGCTTTCCATAGACACCTGGCTGGTCACGGGGTGCTGGATTTGAAGGACCAGCAGCAAGGTTCCTCATACAGCAGTCCTCTTATGCGGTGTAAAGCGGTTCTTGTGGGGGCTGGGGTTAATTTCCTGGGAGTATAGAAATGACCTATAGAATCCAGCTACCTTACCATCGCAGCCTTCCCTTTGATCCTAATAACGTAGGTTTTTCATTGGCAGGGAGGGCAAGAACAGCATACAACCCTTGCAGGAAAAAGAATTTCAGCAAAGTGGGATAACACCAGGACCAATCCCTATTGGGAAGCCCCTTTAGAAAGGGACATTGGTCCTGCTTAGAGCAGATCAATGAACGCAAGTTAGACCAACAGTGGATACAAACTGATATATTTTTCCTCTTGCACACAAGCAGTTCTAACTTTCCTTGGGCAGATACTGACATGGACACATGCCATATATTGGTAGACATAGATATAGCCTGCAATCCTCATTTTTCCAGTTTCTTTGAGCCTGGGAATCATCTGAAATCACCCAGGAAATTCACATGTTTACATTTGCCCTAACAAAGATGCACCCAGGGATAATAAGTCCACCAGCCGGATTGTCCTAATAAATGTTGCTACCTGAGATAAACTCCAGTAAATGGGACAAGCCATTAATGAGGTCTTAAGTTACCACCTTTTTGTATTAGTGCGTCTTTGTGCAAGAGAACCCACTCCACCACCACCACCACCAGTGGATAAGGCTTCCTGACTTAAATCCATATTGTCGCTCACTCCACCACTCTTAATGAAAGATTAAAATCCAGTCCCGGGGTAGCTGTCCCATCTTGTCTTATGGTATGGAGAAGTCCTAATGATGGTGAATAATCCTTCTAAAATTTTGGGAAACATAGTAACAGAGCACAAATCGCTTTTGGCGTTCCTGGGCATGGCTGAGGTCAGAATATGGCCCTAGCCTGATACACGTCTATAAAGTTCCCTTCCAAGAAGAATAAAGCCAACAGCTACAGCCTGGGAACCCTAAAGACTGTTCCAGGGAGTGAGAAGGAAAACCAAGAAAGTCCTGTCTTGTTCTTCTTACAGTATTAGGCAGCTGCCAAGCAGATGAAAGTAACAAATGGAAATCTGAGAACAAGGGAGTTTAAGAGCAAGCTGTTAACAGCCCAATTCTCATCAGTCTGCGGGGAGAGGCAGCAGAATTTAGGGAACTGACAGCCACACAGAACAATTCCACCAAGCTATACAAACACACACACACACACAATAGCATGTGCACGTTTTAGTTAGAGGCTTAGAACGGAGGTGTGGTGCCGCGGTTACCCCTGTTTTCAGGGAAGAGAATAATGTCCAGTGCTAAATGTGGGAAGCAGATAACTAGGGCTCCTGGGCTCCATTCCCCAGCTCTGGAAATAGCAAGCAGCACACATTGTTAGAAGTGGGAGTTTAAGGGGAGTGGTCTCTAACAGAGCAGGGGGAAAGGATGAAGTTGCAGGCAGTGAGGCAGAACAAGAACTTCTGGGAATGGAATGGAATGCATTATATTGGGGGGGGGGGTGATGCACTCTAACAGTTGTGTGGGGGCAGGGGTGGACTGGAAGTAAGGTTTAGTGAGAGCAAGGGGTCCAGAAGTCTAAATCTCTGTGCTCCATTCTAATGCCTGAGATCTCTGTATGGTCCATTGAATGCAACCTATCCACCAAAAGGATAATCCATGTGGCGAAGGAAAAGAAGAAAATATTTGCAAGAGATACTGAAGAGGAGGGGGGAAAGCAGAATGGAAAAAGAAAATGTACCTTTGGGTCAGAATGTGGTCCTGGGTATCACAACCTGAGGCAGACTTTCTTCTTCAACCAAGTTGTTCCTCCCGCCGCCTTTAAATTCCCTTCTTCCCCCCCCTTTCCCTCAACTCCAGTTTCTTTCTGCCAGCAGACCGGAGCTGTGTGTGTGTCAAGCCCTTCACAGGGCTGGAGGAGGCTGTACTCTACTGGAGGGAATTGAGAGGGGTTGACTTTCCTTGTAGGCAAGCTGGTTTCAATGAGGTACAGAGCTCACCACACACACACACACACACACACACACACACACACACACACACAAATGACTTCAGGGGCTGAACCGTCATGTGGTTTCCATCAACCACCTGCCAAAAAGGGAAAAAAAAATAAGAGAGAGAGGGAAAAAACCACCCAACCTCAAGGATGGAAGTTTTCACCCACCCCCTCTTCTTGTCCAAAATGGCAGTCTCTCTTGACAGTTCTTATTTTCAGAGTGGTCACAGGAGTGAGTGAGTTAGGAGGATGGTGAGGAGACAGAACTAAAATCCTTTGACTTTGTGGCGCCAGAGAGGATGGCTTTGTGTTGGTTTATGGCCATGCAAAATATTTGTCTTCCCTGACTGGGAGAAACTGGCCACTGATAAGCAGAAAAGATAAAACCATCTTATTGGTAAGAAACTGGGTATATGCTGTGTTAGGCCTTTGAACAAACAATAGGCTGAAGAAGATATGTGGCAACAGAGAGAAGGAGAGGGAATATGTGATATGAAGGGGTAAAGATGAATATATATGGTGAAAGAGAATAAAAGGATGGATCATGGATGGATGGATGAAAAGCAGTGGGTAGGAAACCTGTGGCCCTTAAAATGTTGGATTCCAGTTCCCATCAGCCTGAGCCAGCATAATCAATGGCCATGAATTATGGGACCTGCAGCCTAACCACATTGGGATGGGTATAGGTTTCACATCCCTGAAAGAGAGGCAGACAGAAAGTTTTTAAAAGTCCTGCTAGATCAGACCAAGAATCCACCTAATCCAGCTTTCTGCAGTTTGGCATTCTCCTGATGTTTTGGCCCATTGCCCATGTTGGCTGGGACAGATGGGAGCTGAAGCCCAAAATAGGCTGGGGAAATCCTCCAAACCAACCAACATTATTTAAACTACAGGGTCATAAAACAAAAGTGGTTCTGTGTATGATCACCAAAGGTGCTTTGAGTGGAACTAGTTCCAGAGCCAAGCAACCAGGTCAAATCACAAGCCACAGGGAAACCAGTCCCCCATCCCATGCCTAAGCCTATGTTGCAGTGATGGAGCCCTTTGGGTAGCATATCTGGAGTGCCATTAAAGGGCTGCTGATGGTCAGTCATTTAAGGCACAACCCTGTGCAAGTTTAGATAGCAAAAAGGTCTACAATACCAAGTGGCTGGGAGTTAAGACCTTTTTTCTGTCTAAGCTTGCACAGAACTGTGCCTTTGGTTTACCACGCTTCTCATGCTCTTTGCCCCATCACTTGCCCTATTTGCTACAAAACTTTCAGTCTATTTGCATGGATATTGCCATCAGAAGCAGCTGTTTAGGTTTGCCAGTGATGGGGCTGACTCTGAGAGTAATTTACAGAACTAATTTTATCCTTTAGGGCTAGTTCGAGTGACAGCTGGATTTGCATGAGCATAAATCAATAAAACTGGTATTACAGAATTCTGCATACCAAAGCCCAGTCACTTAATTTACTGTTGCAATAAATTTTTATTGTGAGTGAGCCATCCCAAGCAACAAGATGCTTTAACCCAGCCCTGAATGTACAGGCCCACACTGGCATATGGGCATATGTGGGTGTGCACACAAACACACGGGACATATGCCATTTTATGTTGTGCATGAAATGTGTATCTGTTATTGGAGTAGATCTGTATTTCGCTTTGATGATAGATCTGTCTTTGCTAGTGAGATGCATCTACAGACAAACTGCATCTGTAAGACAGGGTGGGCAACATGGAGTCCACAGGTTGCATACGCCCATCACTGCCATTGCTGCGTAGAGGCAAAAGGGATTATTTTAAAGCAAAATTGCCCCTTTTTGTGCTGCCACTACCACAAAGGACACTTTTCCCTCCACTGCACCTACACTGCCAAATTTTAGCACCATATTCAGTGGCAAAGTGATACCTGGCTTGGACTAAGGTCTGAGTCAGAGAAGGAACCTGTGGGACAATTTGGACCCCAAACCACTGAAAGTTACCCACCCCCAGTGGAAGGCATCCCGAACCAATATGCAGGACTTGTTCATGTTTCTATGCATACTTTCTTGTTTATTAGAAAAATGTTCCTCTCCAAATTCTTTCATAGGTCATGCCAGACCCCATAGAAGAGATTTGTTCACAGTGCTTGCCTTGCAATGTAATATAAACCCAGTGTAATATAAATACATCTCATAAAAAACATAACAGAACTTAATATTTACTTAGGACTTCGTCAGAATGTACTTTACACCAAAGATCGCTGCTTAAATTTGACTAATAACTTCCAGGCAGTGATGCAAGTAGGGCTGGACCTCAGGATGGAGGTGCACAACCCTGCAGGCTAATGGGGAAACCCCATTTACAAGTCCTCCCCCCATTTATAGGAGCAGGATGCTTTGAGAGCTGTCAAAACTCAGGTTCCTTTTAAAATGGGGGTTTTGACTGGTTTAATCAGTTCTGTTCTGTTTTGTTTTTGGACAGGGACATGTCAAAGCAACCCTGATTAGACCAACCATGAACTACATAAATGGGGTGCCTCATATTTTTCTACCTTCTACTCTTTCTCCAGTGTTGGGAAAGGGTGGGAAAGATGCAGGAAACTTACAAGAGTTTAGGTCCAGCCAAAAGGATCTCTCCGTGAAGGAGATAACCTGCTGGTCCCTCACTTTTATGACAACTGCCAAGGGAAAGCACTTTGACAGCAGACCCCTCCCAGTGCATTGCCAAGGCGAGGCTTTCCATTTCAGATCCATAGAAGTGCATGCCTCTGCAATGGCAGAAGTACACCGAATTTTGTTTTTTAAATTATAAAAATATTTGTTCACATATGGGGTACAATGTTGTTCGTTTGTTTTTTTAAATAGGGTGGCAAAGCAATTACAGCTCCTTCAAGTGTGCTTCTTAGACACTTTGGAGGGGCTATCATTGTCCATGACTGTCAATTCAGAGATTGTGCAAAGCAATTTCCAAAGAAGTCTGGTGAGTCCAAAAAGGTGAATGGTCAGCAAGGGGATACTGAGCCAGTGACTGCGACTCCACCATGCCACTTTGGCATTGATAGAGCAACTTCACTGGCAGTGAACTCGGTCACAATACAGGCAGGGGGTTTTGCTGCTTTTGCTAAGCAGCTTGCTAGCCACTTCCCTGGACCCTCAATGGGTTGATTACCTTGGTTTGGATAACAGGAAAACCCACTGTACTTCTAAGAATGCCTCATACAAGCCATCGTTTGTCAGGGTGGCTTGTTGCTCTTCAAACAAACCACTCTGTGGGAAGTGGGCCAGGCTCACTTAAAACAGCAATCCAACATGGCTAGTAACCCACAATGAGTTATTATTAAAAATGATTGTACTTCTATAACAACCAATAGCCAGTATAGTTGTTGTGGCATAGAACCTGATTTCTGCCTACTTAGACCTTCAGACAACATATTACAAGAATTTTACCAAACAAAAGGATGCGCTTGGTCAGCAAGTTTGATCAATATTCAGCCATGCTTAACCCTTTCCTTCTAAACTCCCAATTTCACCACAGTATATCGGCAGCCAGAGTGGAATACCACAATCACATTACCTGAATGTTAAAACATGATTTTTTTTCACTTTACCATAGTACTCTTTGGAGTCAGGGCTCTTGGTCGAGGGATCTGAATATCTTCGGAAGCATGAAGATGAAGGCTGGTGATTTAGGGAGGTGAAGTGTATAAACCAGGACTCCTGGGTTCTGCTTAAGGAAAAGGCTGATCCCCCGCCCCCACCCCCCGAGAGGCAGCAAGACAGTAACCTCTGACTAGTTTTAGGGGATCATAAAATGGCAGCAAATTACTAGTTAGATACTTTGCTATCATTGTGCGTCTACTGCCAGGGATGGGGAGAGGGACTTATGGGACTTTATGCCTCATGTACCAAAACAATTTAGTTTGCTCCAGGTAGTGCACACCTCGGTTGGGGGGATGAAAGGCACCATTTCCTGCCTTGGATAGCAGAATGTCTTGGGCTGGTTCTGTTCAAAAAACTGAGGTTTCAGATTTGTTGATGTCTTTGGGGTTTCATAAAGCATCAAGGGGGAACACTTTTCATAGTTGGTACCCCTCCTTTCCCATACTAACTGTGTGCATGTGTCCCCATGCAGTAGTTCCTGATTGTTGCACGCATAGTTGTGGCCTCCTCTTCTCTGTGGGAGCTGGTCTCAGCTGGGTTGGGACCGCAACAGCAGGAATGCAGGCTGGATGGGATGCGACGCCAACAGGAACATTCCTGATGTTGATCTTTGATCCCCGCAGGGCTTTTGCTTGATTCCCCTGGAATCTTAAATCCTGTGTGGAGAGTTGCTTATGCATCCATCCTCCATCCACACATACCAGCCCCGCCAGCCCCTGAGCATCACTTTTTGAACAGACTAACAAGAGCAACTTCAAGCCAAATGAAACGTGGCAGCGGCAGCCACACTGGTTGCTCACGGGCTAGCCCTGTTCACGTGTAAAGGGGATGCATCTAATTTTGACATCAAAAGAAGCACAGAGGCAAAGGCGGATGGGCCCTCCCTCCCCCCGGTCCTTCCTGACCTCTTTACAGTCCATCATTCATACTCTCCCCTCTGCCCCCAAGTCCAGCTCCAAGACTGAAAGTGAAGCATGTGGGGAGGAAAGTTTCTGGAGCCACAGCCATGCAGAAGCTGCGCTCAACTGCATGATAATCCATGCTGGCTGAGGGTGGAGCTCTGTCTGCCACCCCCTAAACTCGCCTGCCGTCCTCCCCTGTTGCCAGTGCTGACATAAAATTCAATGGCAATTCTTGTCAGCTTCTGTAATGGAGGAGGACGCCATCTTGGCCTTTGCCTCAGGCCCAAAAGTATCTTGAGCCAGCTCTGGCAGTTAAGCACACCCCGCACCGTCCTTTGTACTGGTGAAGGGGCAGATGTGCAAACATGTAATGTGGCTGCCAGGCACAGGTGACAGGCTGCATTTGCTCAGAAGGGCGCTCTGGACTATTCAGAGGCACTTTTCT